TGCCACTTTAGACTTTAGAGCATTGATTTTGCATATAAAAAGAAAAGGTAATGTTTGTGAAATTAATGCTAGAAGAGACGCGGAGAGGGAAGGGAAAAAATGTAAAAAAGAAAAAAGGAGCGATCTGTTCATGGAAATGAAGTGTAACGTGAGATGTGCACTTTTGGCCACTTGAGCACACTGCATAACTTTCACTCACCAAATATTGAACATTTAAGGGTAACTTTATCTACACTTTTTAGTTACTATAATTTTTATAGTTTATTTTTTTTTATTACATCACATATTTTATTTTGTATTTGTCTATTTTTTTTCTAACTATTTCCTAATTACGTAAATTATTATAAGAAAGAACCTTGAGAATGGAATTGTCCAACATTTAATGAATAATTTGTTCAATTGTGACAAAAGATGTAGTAATATTTCTTTCATAGACCTTTTTAAAATATAATAAATATATTATTTAATGAATTTCATGCATCTATTACCAAATAAACTGTGTGAGACTGATATAAATTTTAAACAATAATAAAAGTAAATGTATTAAAATGAATGCATTAATTTTTTTAATTTTTATTAAGACAAATTTGTTTACGTAAGAAGACGTGTGGAGAAAGAATATTATTAAAGATAAATAATTTTAAATTTATTGGATCATAATAAAATTTTAATAAATTTTAATATATTATCAAATAAATGGTGTCTTTTTCATTTTTATGTATTTTTTATTTTTATTATTAATTTGATTGATAGAAATATCTTACATAAAATTATTTAAGCATAAGTGACAACTACATTTAATTTTTCGACTATGCGCGATTTGATAAAATTAATTTTTTATAATAAATAACAATGAAATTATTTTAGGAACAAAAATTTCAAAATAACATATTTTTATATTATTATTTAATTACATATTATCATGTTAGGAAAAATATTAATTTTTATAACAACTAATTTTAAAATTATATCTAATTTATTGATAGTGTACAAAATTATACTAATAATATATTAGAATTATATTCATAAATTATTTAATATTTAATTTTAAAAATAGTTGTAAAATTAACATTATAATATAAAAATGTATTAATTGTATATAAAAAATATATTTAAAATATTTAAAGGACTATCTTCTCTCTTGCATTAAAAAATTAAATAAAAATAATTTATATTATATTTTAAAAAATATATAATAAAATATTTTGATTATTAATTTAATAAAATATTTTTAATATTATAGTAAAAATTTAATTATTATATCATAAATAAATATTTTATTATTTTATATTAAATATTATAATTATAATATAATATTATATTAATACTTGTATTTATATGCATGGTAATTAAAAAATATATATTATATCTTAAGAGAAACAAAAAACTATGAGAAAGCGAATAAAATAGTAGTCAAATTAAAGTTAAAATTAAAATTAAATTTTGTAATTAAAGAACATGCACTTATATAGGATTAGAATCAAATGATACCTACGTTAAACTTAGTAAAATGACATTTTTAATAATTATTTTTTATTAAAAAATATCGTTAATCAAAATATTTAATTTAAAAATTTTATAAAGTATATAAGTTTACAAATTTTCACACTAAATTTAAGTATTATTTGATATTTTATTACTTTATCATTGAACTACTTATCTACAAATATCTAAATTATTAACATTTTGTATGCATGATCTAAATAATAGTATTTTAAAAATTTCTTATTAAATTTATAAAATTCATATTGGATAAAAAGTTATTCAGCTGTGTTATTTGATTCTCACCTTCTCCCGTCTCCTGGCAGTAAATTTTATTCATGCGACCGTATATAAATGGTTAATGTTAAAAATTGCACAGAATTTTAAACATTACATTATTTGGTATTTTATTCTTAATCAATCATAACCAAACATACAATGATTAAGATTCACTCTTTTCACTCTCGCATTAAAAAGTTCTTCCATTTAATACAAAGTGTATTTAGTGCAAATAGTTTTATTTTCAAATTGTGAGAACCATAAATTTAGATTATACAAGGAGTATGCATGCGACATGATTATCCTTGATTTTACTCGACCTAAAATTTTAATAGGTCATTTTGCTAATTTCAAAAAATGTCCCGATTAAAATCCAATAATATAAGAACTTGACTAAAATATTGACAAATTATTTCAATCTTAGAATAATACGTAACTAAAATTTAAACATATTATATAATATATAGTTTAAAATAAATAATATCACTATATTAAAATATTATCTATTAAGTGTTAAAATCTTATTATTAATATGTTATTCTTTGAAAAAAAAGTGTAAAATTTAAATACATTAAGTTAGGACAACTTGAAGTATAACCTAAACCCTTCTTTAAAATCTTCTAAATTTATTTTTCAAAACTTCAACTTGTTAAAATTAATTTGCTGTTACATGATTACTTATAAAAGAGATGTATTTTATTTTATTTTCTTCTAAACTACATGCATTCTATCCTAAAAATAAAAGATAAGATTATTCTTCCAAATATATAACGTAATAGCTTTAAATGAAACTCAAACATGATTCATGTACATGGATGTTGCAGAGAATGTACCTGGTTTTGCACAGCGAAGGCCTGGGTTGGTTTCAAAACATAAATGATGAAATGTATGACTATATATGCATTTGATGTGGCCACGAGGGTGAGTCTCTTTCCAGCCTCAACGCCATGTGATTTGTAATTGTAGTATGGTTGTGTTGTGATTTGTAATTGCCATTTATTATTAATTCTTAGCCCGCTAGTCTCTCAAAATTATGAAATATGCACTTATTAACCTCAGCCTATTAAATGCCGACAAACTCTAAATTTTACTTCCAATCATCTCCTCACTTTTACTTATCTTTCACATAATGCTTTTGTAATAATGTTATAGTATATTATTATTTATAAAATTAAGTAAGGAATTAACATAATAATTAAATTAATCAGCATTCTTTAACACGTCTTTATTTTAATGTAAAAATTAATATATCTTATATGTTTATTATGTGACAAAAACATGCATTCTACACTTGTTAATTTTCCGTTTTATCTCTTCTATCAGATCTTAAATATAAGAAGATTTTTGGCAATAAAAATGTTAAGAAAATCTCGTTTAAATGAAATATTTAAATATATTTAAACATAGTTAGTATATAAATTATTATATTATATGTGTGAATAATTTCTTTCAAGAATGTTTGAGAGTTGAGTGTCGAAAGAAACAGACAAGGAAGATATTTTTTTTTAATTTCTAATATATAAAATTTAACTTCATAATTTTAAAATAAAATAATAAATAAATTTAATATATTAATATTTTTCTAAATTTTATAAATATTATATAATTCAATTATATATATATATATATATATACTAACATTTGTTTATATGTTTATTATTGAGAGTGAAAGATAATAAAGAGTTTAACATGTAAATGATATTATTATTTTTTTTTATATTTTGTATGTATATATTTTTTTGTCTTTTTTTAAATACAAAAATTAAATAAAATTTTCTCTAAAAATTATATTTAAAATTTTTATAAATTTTTAAAAAAATTTTACTCTAAAAGCTAACATTTTTTTAAAAAAATATTTTTATTTTATTTTTTCTACTATTTTAACTTTAATCCATGTTAAATATTTAATCTAATAAATAGAATATAAATGATAAATTTTACTATACGAGTCAGTAAAATTTTCTAAAATAGAGAATAAAAAAATTTTAAAATTTTTTGAAAGTTTAAAAAAATTTCTTAATCTTTTTTTTATATTTAATTAATTTTTAAATAAGGATTAGTAATTACTAACTTCTTTCTTCCTTTTTCCTTCCTAGGTCAATATAAAATCTAAACAAAACCTTAAAAAAACCTAAGTCCAACTTACTAATCATAAAATCTTTTTAAAGATAGAAGCTCCATTAATTTTTTGAGAAACTTTGATCAAGCAAGTAATTAGTGAAATAGAATAAGATTACTGGTCAATGATTAAAGCACCTACAATGACAAGAAGTCTCGTCGATATAATTTACCTTTATGTAATGAATTTATGTGCCATCAGATAAAGGATTTCCATTTTATTTTCAAAGGCATTTTACGTTGATAAATTTTATGAACTATATTTACATAATTTCTTTGTATATTTTTTTTACAACCAAAAGACTGAAATAAGACTCGATGCAATGAAAAGAATTATAAAAAATATTGTATAAATAATTTAACTCTTTACGTATCAAAATTTACCTTGTAAATACAATTAATAAAAGTCAATGTCAATTTGTCGTGTAAGATCATTAATCCATAATTTATTTGTGTTTTTTTAACGTCTTTTTGTTCCATTTTTTAATAATTAATTAATGATAGAGATTTTTTTTAAAAAAAATATTAGAGACTAAATATTAACAATTTTTTTTTATCAAAATTTAATTTTAAAATAAAAACATTTGTACAAATTTAAAACTTATTTAAATCAAATTAAAATATATAAAAAATACCATATAGTTATTTTATAAATTCTACCGAACTCGGACCATATCTACTCTGACCAATTCCCTTTCATGGCTCCACCCCATTGTAGGTAACTGTATCCAGCTAGAGTAAGAACAAATAAAAGATTGAGGTTTTCAATGAAAAAGAAAATACATGTAGTTCAGCAGCACAAAAATTTAACTTTTAATTTATCTTTACAGCTTATATAGTTGTTTGATTTACTTCCCGAGTTTATTACTAAATTAACATTTTTAACTGATAAATTAATTTATTATGATCTTATTTTTTATTTTCCATTTAATATTATTTAATAATAGAACATCCATATTCATCATTTTCTTTTTTATTTAGAACTGCCTCATTTATGCATTAACGAAATTTTAACAAAGGTCGTCAATTAAATTTTATCATTCCAAAGATATTTTTCATTACTTTTTAACTTAAATTTCAAATAAGGTATATCTAGATAATATTTTAATTTTTTTTATCCTAATACATATTCATCTTCAGTTCAAATTCTTTTCACTTCATGAATATCATTTTTATAATCACTCTTTTAAAAACTTAAAAATCCAAATGATAATAATCGGTACTGATAGAAGTTTATTATTGTAATATAACATAAGCAAGGCCGCTTATTGTTATATATTACATGAACAAGGCAGCTATTGTTACATAATACACATCATACAAAAAGCAGCTATATAAGCCGGAAATACGTACGTTACAGAAAGGCGACTTCCAAAGCTACTTGTTGTAGGAAAAAGCTTATGTTTTACCATGTATTAGAAGTAGAAGCACGTAATTTCTGTGTGTACCGAGTGGGGAATGAAGGGTGATTGCTAGCGGATCACTGCTTATTCCATACAGCATAATTATGGCCAGAAGTTGATAGTGTCCATTCCCTCCCAGATGGGCACCACGAACCATCTCCAATCTTCATGCATAATTTCTCCCCGATGATTGCAGAGTAAAGGTTTTGCTTGGCCTCCAGAATCTTGATAGGCGATCTACTTTGAATACCTTGACGCTTGCGAATGTCAATCTGCAGTTAAAGATAAATCGGTTACTAAGTATCCCTTTGTCAGAGGAAGATGCTTATGCTACTAGTTCTGTTACGTACCAACTTCAAAATCTGCTCCCGAATTGAATTGCCCCAGTCAAAGAAGTGATCGTAGAAAACTGTTGGTATCCCAGGATGAGTCAATATGTATGCATACCCCTGCGGTAACCAAAAAGATTTTATAAAAGTGATCAGTGAAATCCATTTAATTAAAAGTTCAATTGTTTTGGGTATGGGAGCTAAAACCCCACAATTTTTTCAACCTTTTGTGGGTATCTAACTCTCAAGTCACAACTTAAATCAGAAAGGTCTAGGAGGAAAGACAACAAAAGAGCCTTTTCAAGATTAAAGGTGGTTATTTCCTTTTAACAAATCAACAATTCTGTTAGTCTCCAGACAGTACAACAGTGGAAGAAAAAATAAAGACCACAGGAGATAGTGTATTCCACCATGTCTACAAGGTGTCTTAAAAAAAATCGACTGTTTTCTTGCTGCTACACGATTATTTATATGCACAAACATTCTCCATCAACAGTGTTTGATTTGGCATGTAGTTCTGAACGATTGGTAGAACTGCGCATAGGCATCAACTGCTTGAAATTTACTAACTTTTGAGCTTTGTCTTTACCAGACGGGATAAAAAGAAGTTGATATACGGAACAATAAGTCGGTAGGAAACAGGTAGAGAAAGGATGAAGAGAAATAGATTACCAAGCAGCTAAATAATGGATAAATTACATATAGGATTGAGATAAATTTAAAATTATGCCCGTCAAGCAACCATGTGCATAAACATGCTTGCGTAAATATATTTATGCACATACATGGTACCATATGTAACTAATACCCTATGGACTGGAAAGCATTCTTTTAAATAGTCACTAATGCCCAAAAAAAAAAAGTACCTCCATAATATGGTTGCTGGGGAAAGGCCAATGAGCCTGCACAGAGTGAAACAAGGGCATAAATTCAAGATCTAGTGGACTAGCAGAAGAAAGCAATTTATTATTGCCCCAAAAAAACGCATAATGTCAAAGGAAATGGCGTCTTCACATGTTGGCGCCAAAGTTCTCAATAAAGACAAGTTTGAGGCAGTTATTTTTATTAATAAACAAGCTAAACTTCAGTTTACCCTTTATTGTTTAATATTTCAATTTACATAGTTACTTTCAAGAGTATACTTTATTTTACATGAATCTACCACACCCATAACTGGGCCAGTCTTCTCAGACTTCCAGCATGAGACAGGAAAGATGCTTACACATAATTTTTTGCTGATTAAACTCACCGTTTCCTCAGCGAGGAAGTTTTCATTATTTCTATCATACCAACTCCTTCCTCTAATAACTGGCTTTATTTGACAATTTTCTTCAATATTATACTAAAAAGAAATTAAAACAGGGGAAAAAATATACAAAGCTAGGTGCCACTATTATAATGGGATGAGTATTTACTACACTGGGACTGAAAAAATTTCCACCTCAACATGCAATTGTGTACTATAAACAAGAATAGTATATCCTCATGATATTGTCCAAGAAGCGCCTTTAGTACCTGAGTTGAGCCCGTATCATGATTATCTATAAATGTGACAGATCTTGAAGGCCACCACCCGACCACACCTGGAGGCTTCCCTTGAGTATCACGCAAACGCCAAAATTCTCCCTTGACAGCTTCCTACAAATTAGAAGTGCATCAGCATACATGAAATAATAAGGGATTTCGGGGGTGAGAAATGTAATTAAATGAATCTAATAACCAGTACATCTGCGAGTGTCCCAGTTTTTATGAAGATTCGATAGTAAGTAGAAACCAAATAATTGAACTGTAAAAAGTGAGGGGGAGCGGGGAGGGAGTGGAAATAATGAAATCTTCTGTCCGGGGAAGAGATTTAGATATGTTCATTTTTTAAAGCATTCACTAACTCGCTAAGCGCAAAATGCTGGGTACCTGAAGAATTCCCTTTGTTGTGAAGTCAAATGCAGTTGAAAGTTGTCCAGTGCCATCAATCCAATTGATAATTCGCTGCCTATGGCTATCTGCAAAGAGTGGAACATAAGTACGCTAAAGGCTGAACGATAATTTACAAAATGCAAAATAGAGATACCGAAAGTCACACTATGGAACAAGCTGATCCATATTTAAAAATAAAGGTAAAACATGACAAGTAAACAACATCAACATCTACTTTACGTCGTTATGTAATTTCCAAATAGGTCAATAGTTTGTCACTTGTATCAAAAAGAGAATCCTTGCAATTTGCAAGAACTTCTGAATTGTTTTATACTGTTTTTTTATTTTTATTTTTAAATAAATTAAATGAATAAAGTATAAACTTAAATTTCCATGCCAAATAGGTATGCTTCCCAACATGTAATACAAATATCTTTGTTTACGTGCAGCAATAATATGTCATATCAATAAAAAAATTTCAACCACTTTACAGGGAAAAGGAATATAAATTTTGAGCTTTTTAGTCCCCTCATAAAATATCTATATCCCAATGACCAACATATTTAGATTTCAAAAAATTTCAGAATTGTGCTTTATTATATTTGACGAATGAAAATATACATCTAAGCTGTGTACCTTGGTTATAGTCCAAAGTAGAACCCCTGTAGTTGCAAGAATCCCAATACTCCCCAACCGAGAACAACGGCTTTGCTCCTTCAATATATTCCTTAACATATTTTGGGGAAAACCTAAGTGACAGAATTGAAAGGTATAAAATTTCAAATCATGAGTGCATAATAAAAGAAAACAACACCAGGAAAAACCCAATACTCCAAAGGCATAACACGTCTTACCCTTTTGCAAAGTCAAAACGAAAATCCTGAAAGCCCACGTCATGACGCAACCAGCGGAGCCATCCTATGATATCCTTTCTCACAAAATCTTGAGTATGGTCAATATTGGGAAACCCCTGGAAAATGGCCCCCGTGCTTGGATTACCCTGAAATGAAAAACGCGTAGATTCAACAGGACAGGAGGAACTTCTATGTAAGATGCAGAGTTGGAATATGCGAAAATACATTGTAGGTAACAAATATTACCAGTCCACCACTACATGATGTCACAGCACGCTCATCCCACGCTAATCGAATTCCATCAAAACGATTATACATCCCTCCGCGTCCTTGGGTGGTGCCAGCACGATGATTGATAACTACGTCAGCCATTGACCTAACTCTGTGTTGCTTCATCTTTTGAAGTAAAGCTTTTAATTGTCTCTCGGAACCATATTTACTATCAACAGAGTAAAGGTCCTGTGGAGTGTAACCTGCAAAAGAGGGTGAAAAGGGAACATAACTGTACATTATGTCTTCCTGGGAGTTGAAGACAAAGACACTAAGACCATGTAATTTTATGCTTAATCCCTCTAAGGCTGTAACCTTCAGGTGAGAAGGATTGAGTTGGTGGTGGCAACCATACTGAAGTGAATCCAGCTTTAGCTATGTCAGGAACTTTGCCTTCTAAATTTTTCCACCAATTGTATTTGTGAGACTCCCAGTTGAATGCCTGCAAAGCAATTTTTTTTTCATGTCAATTCTACTCTGTGTGAAGGTCTTGGTAGTCTTAGACTCCAAAAAGATGAGATGTGGTATGATATGCACGCAATACTATTAGTTTTCCAAGAACATCACGTCTTTGCGGATAAATAGCATCATTGGAGCGCAGACAGAAAACAGTTCAATAAATAAAGCAAAAAAGAACTACAGAAGTGAAACTCAGGCCGATTTGGTTTTTCCAATTAGTGCATAATAACAACATTAACATGAAAATTATAGCACATCCTTGCCTTGAAAATTCTCCTATTATGTACAAGGAACTAGGAAGAAAAGCCAACACCAGAGTCGTTAAAATTTACCTGAAAAAGTATTTCTTTTCCATCCCTCAAAACTGAACCTGGTCACGTGCGCCAAGAAGGAGTAATTAGAAAATCAAAAGACCCGCTATCGAATTGACATATCAGTTACAACAGTTTTCATGCTAGTCCATTATCCATTATACCAAATATGTTTCAGTGTAACAGAGCGACTATATTTGGTTTGAAAAGTGTAACGCACGGAAAATAAGCCCCTTAATTAGAACAAGGTATTCATTATCCATTCCATGCATTGAAAATTCTAAACGGTAACCGGAGTTATTAGTCGATGTCATGCTAAAGTTAAACTAAATCGACGTGGTTTAATCACTGAAATTCTCTCAGTTATCATAATAAGGTTCGAAACGAGTGAAAAGCATACCAATATCAGATTGTTGATTGGTTTGATTACGTTCCTGCTCGTCAACCAAGAACCAAAAAATAAGAACAGACATATAAAAATTAAAAACAGATCGAGAGAGAGAAAGAATGAAGAGAAGTTGTTGCATACACCGTTCCAGAAGCCCATGTTAAGTCAAAGGTTATGATTGTTGAACTGGAGCAAGGAATTCACGGCCAACGCAGTAACCTTGATCCACGATAATCAAAAGATTATAGAATTTCGAATAATAATAAAATAAAGAGAGTTGAATATGAGAAGAGAGAAAGGTACCAGATTGATTTGGGAAAAAAAGAGCGTTGGAGGAATTAGTATTAATAGAGAGGAAAAGGAGAAAAAATCGGTGGAAATTAGAATCACGCATCTTCAGAGTCAGAGAATATTGAATTTGACGATAAAAGGGAATCGGCTTCTGAGAGGAGAAAGACAAAAGAAAGTGCCTCCGTGCGATTGGAGGAATAAAGAGGATGCATTGGGAATCCTGCGTGTGGCCACTTCATTGCTACAAATTTCAATTGTTTCTAGTGGTTTATCTTCTCTGCTACAAAGCTTGGAGAGTAAGCTACAGATATCGTTCAATTCCAGCACCACGGTTCCTATTCCTGAAAATGATTTCTCAAACTCTTCAACGGTGCTCTACAACGAGCTCCACTAGGCTTTTCTAGGCCCAGACAATTTTTCAGGACAAAAACAAGATACTTTTCAACTGACATTCAAGCCCAAAATAAAAGTGATAGATGCAAATAATTTTGTCATTTATATTACACGTTTATTCAATCAAAAGTAATATTCTCCATCCCTCTCTTTTCCTAAATTTATTTAATTATTCTTTTTTATTTGGATCAATCAACTATTAACACAAATAGTTTTCAATGAATGTCAATGGGTTGATGATTCTTGTGATATATGATTAAACATAATTAGAAACTTACCTATATATTTTAATAATTAGATTATTGTAAGGTGTTTTAAAATATACAAATTATTTATTAAGCTTTTTTAATATTGGTAGTAAAGAGTAATGAAATAGAAAAGAATGATATTTTATGAAGTTAGATTGCTACATTAAACAATGGTTTAAATGACATATATTGCAATGGATCTTATCCCAAAATTTCATTCAACATTTTTATTTCTGTTTTCCGCCCAAGATAAAATAAAAATGATTTTATTTTATAATTATGTCTCGTTTGTCTTCTTGGAGAAACCTCGTCGGCTAATCGCCATCCCCACTTTCACTCGCTATGTTCATATGGCGTTGGGAATTATGGAGTGTCTCACTTGGCATTGGAAACTATGAGAGCGTTAACAATGACAGTAATGTTGGGCGCCAATATTGGTCTCATGGTCTTTCTTGGTTTTCTTTCGGTTTGTGAAGAATGGATGTCCACTTTCTAGGCATCAACACCCTTTACAAGGGGCATCTTTCTTCTTCTCACCGTGTTTCATCCCACTTATTCAGATACTTTTGTAGGTGTACCCAAAAAGCACAAAAGTTCAGAATGTTAAAGAAGCAGCGTTCTCTATGTTCCCTCAAGGTAATTCCGGCCATCAAAGATGTATTTGTAATTGTCAGTACGAATATTTATTTTGTTAATATCTAATTATTAAAATAATTCAAAAATAAATTATTTTTTTAAACTTTTTTTTATGTCACTATTAGGTGCAAAACTTAATTTTTATTATTTTTCAAAAAAATTTATATATCTAGAAGAAGAAACTTATATTTTTTAATATTTTTTATATTAAGCAGATGAAACTTGAAAAATAATGATACAATTTCATTTATACAGTATATAAAATTTATTTTTAAGTTTGATGTGTCATTATTGTTTAAGTTTTATTTATTTACTATTAAAAAAATTAAAGTTTAAATATGTGATTAGTCCCTGTAAATATAATGTTATGCAATAAGTTTTTATTGTATTTTTTATTAAGATTCAGTCATCGAAATGTTTAAAAGATAATATTTACTCTCTTCCATCAATTTCCTTCAATTAAATGCTGAGCTGATTGACACAGAACTAGCTCAACACTCACACTTGAGATACCCCGTTATTTAATTTTTAATATTTTATTATTTAAAATTGTATTTACAAATAAGTCTCTAAATACATTTTAAATAATCATAGACAAGTCTCTTCTCTTTCTCTTTTCTCTTTTTGCTACCTCGCTCTTCCCTTCCCTACATTCCACCCTTCTAACTCCCTTTTACCACACCCACAACTATTGCATTGATTTCCAATATCTTAAATGTAGGCAAAAAACCTCTATCTACAACATAAAATCCTACAACACAACCATTAATTTGTGTAAAAGTACAACCACATTGAAAAAGATAAAGTAATGTCATAATATCCAAGTGACATGGTGATGAACACTTGAAATGTCTTCAATAAACACAATGACAATTAACACAATGACAAATAAAATAAAAATATTATGAGATATTCATTAAATGCAATAAAGATAGAATTATGAAAAGTAAGTTGCTACAAAAAAGATACCGCCTCAATTAAATAGTTTAGAGACAAAATCCAAAATATAATTAGTTAGCTCACAAAAAATCACATAATTAAAGGTAAAGAAAGCTAATGTGAAAATCCATCGTATATATATATGATACAAATCTAAGTTATATCTCCAATATATCAAGACTTTATTTTAAAAATATTTTAATTGATCTTTTTAGTGATTTGGTATCGTAAACATGCTGTTAATATATGTAAATACTTGTACTTACCTTTATTAAGCAACTATTGCTATCATTAGGAGATTGTAGTAACTTTATACAATATTTCTTAGGTAACTGCGTTATGTATATATTTTTATACTTATTATTTAACAACACCATATTTTGACACACACGATTTTAGCATGGTATCAAAGCTTTCCAAGCCCTAATAGGCATCGTGTACAAGCAAACCTTTGCTACTACAATGACAGATGCAAGCAAGATAACTCAAATAAAAGAGAATGTGAAGAATTAGGGGGATGGTGCCAAGAAGGGTCTGTGACCTTGTGATTTGAATGCAAGTGATAATTTAGGAAATGTGTTCACGCAAATGCAATTGCGTGGAGAAAACTATGAAGAATAGGCATGTGCTGTGAAGGTCTCACTACATGCCCGACTAAAGTAGGGATTCCTTGATGGAACCCATAAGAAACTAGAAGAGGACACAACAGAGATGGAAGATTGGTGGACAGTTCAATCTATGCTTGTCTCTTGGATATTGAACAGTGTTGAGCCAAGCTTGCGCTCCTCTATCACATATGTGAAGAATGTGAAGGACTTATGGGAGGACATTAGGGAGCATTTTTCTGTGGTGAATGGACCATAAATTCAATAGTTAAAGGCTGAACTGGCAGAATGCAAGCAATAAGGGACAACTATGGTTGCATATTATGGAAAATTGAAGACCTTTTGGGATAAATTGGTAAACTACGAACAAATTCCAAAGTGCACATGTGGAAGATGCAAGTACAACATTGGATTACAACTAGAAAATAGAAGGGAAGAAGAAAGAATCAATCAACTCCTAATGGGTTTGGATGATGTGGGTTATGGGATAGTGCGATCCAATATTCTAGCCGTAGACTCACTACCTTCCCTCAATAGAGTGTATGCAAGCATGGTGCAAGAAGAAATGATGATGATCACAAGAATGAAAGAAGAAAAAGGAGTAGTAATGAGACTCTCAGTGCAGATGACATACAAGAATAAGAGGCGAACTAAAACAAAATAGCTCTTGTGCTCGCACTATAATAGATCTGGACATGATGTCAAAGGATGCTTTCAACTAGTCGGATACCCAGAATGGTGGGGTGATTGCCCACGCAATGAAGGAAGTAGTAACTGAAGGACTTAGAAACAAGGTGGATGTGGGAGAAGTGGGTCAATACACGCAAATGTTGCACATGTCGCAGCTGAAACATGTAGTAAGTAAGGAGGAGAACCTTGCGGTATGGTGACTGGGCTTAGCAACGAGTGATGACAGACATTAATTGATATGTTTAATGCCAACAAGAGAAACAAAGCATAAAAGATGACTGGTAAGGGATGTTATGTTTTATGGATTATTGATAGTGGAGCTTCCAACCACATGACAAGGAGCTCAAGGAATTTAAGGGAATAACAAGATGTGGTAGCTTGTGCAATAGGGTTGTCGAACAGGGAGAACGTTCTCACAAATAAAGAAAGAACAATGATCTTTGAAAGGGAGTGATGAATCCATAGTTTGACTAATATTTTAGTGTAATTCTAACCCATTTGATAAGGAAAACATGTTAGAAACAGCAAAAAAACTTAGAAAAATATAATGATTGAAGGTTTTCTTTTATTATGTAGTTAGTTTAACATTTGTGAAATTTATGCTTAGAAATTAAAAATTTAATCTTGTTTTTGTAGGAATAATCTGAGCAAGGTTCATGGAAATCGAAGATCAATGGAAAGGAAGGGGAAGAATAACAATTCTGGACTCCAAAACACAAGAACAATGGAATGCAGGCTAGGCGTGACCACTATTGTTAGTGAAAGTGATCACTCCAAAGCTCAAAAGAGAAGTGAAGCCTAGGCATAACCACTTTTATCATTGAAAGTGAGTGTTCCAGAGAAGTCTCAGATTCAGCAAGCTCTGCGTAACCACTTTTATCAACAAAAGTGACCATTCTAGAGAAGGCAAAATTTCAGAGTATTCTGCGTAAACACTTTTATCATTGAAAGTGGATGTTCCAGAGAGTCCTCAACTTGGCAAGTTATGCGTGACTACTTTTATTCATAAAAGTGTTAACTGACAACCACTTGACCTCCTGCGTTGCAACTCTTAGCAGCAAAAGTGATAGTTCCAGACTTCCAGAATCACATTAGCCTCTGCGTAGCCACTCTTATGGAGAAAAGTGACACCGCACACAATCGAGAATTTCTATAAATACGTGATTAAGCTTAGAACTCGAGGTCTTTTGTTCATTTTTTATTTTTTCTATTAGATTCTCGTTGAGAGAGAGTGAGAGAGAGGATTGGGGTCAAATTTCGAAGCTCCAAGAAGAGGCATTGGATTGGAGCTCGTGGAGATGACTTCTCTGCAATTCTTCTCTTCTTCTCCTTCTTTCTTTTTCTCTATTGCAATGTGTGCTTAATTCTTCGTAGTTAGGAGTTTATGGATCTTGAATTGATGTATTGATTCAAATTTTGCTCCTTAAATTTGAGTTCTTGGATTAATTGAGTTGTTAATTCTGCTGTTATTGCAATCTTTGAATGGAAATTCGTATGATTAATCAAAGAGGGACATTTGCCAATGGAAGTTGGGTTTGCTTCTCTGATCTGAATTAGCAACTAGAATTAGGAATTTCTTAGGGATAAGGGAACCTAATCCTGCAATCCTAAGGTTCTAAGGCTTAATGCAACTTGAAATTAAACTTCACCTAAGGGATTAGGGTGGTTTAGTCACTTGTTAGGGTCAATGATTTAAGAGATTAAACTTTGACTATTAATAAGAGAAACTGATGGTCAATTAACCAATTGCTTGAATGTTTAGAGGCATAATTGAATTGATATTGACATTCTTGTGAAATAAATTCTTAAGTATCATTCATCCATTTCTAATCTCAACATCAAAGTCTGTACTATGTTTTCTACATGTTCTTTACCTTTTAATTGTTCTCATTTCTTGATTTCTGAATGTTACAACTCTTACAAATTCTTATAGCTCAAATAGTTATTGTTCTG